AAAATGCTGTCAGTGTGTACTTTAATTTGATTTGGTGTAGCCTTTATTTAGAGTTCTCTATGATCTATGTGCCAAAAGTAGACTGAGTTTCTTTATAAACTTGTACTGAGTATATAATGTCACAATATAACTTGGGCATAAAATATTGATAAAAAGAATTGTGAATGATAATACTCAAGATACTTTTTAAATTTAGTCAAATGTTAATGCCTGGCCTTTTTTCCTACACATCCAATTCAACAGAGTACACTTTATTCTGATAGCTATTACTGCTTAGTCAGTGATGAAAGCTTTACTGCTTCTGTGCTGTGCTCAAGAGAAAACCAGCAAAAGAAGCAAAGGCTTTTTTTCTTTCCCAGAACTGCAGCAAAGTTCTCTGCTGAGCAACGGAGATATGAATGTGTAGTATTGATTTCTTGAAGATAATCATAGATCATCTTAACATTACTTGCCTTATAAGTTAGGAAAAAAGTGTGTGGCTATCACACTTTTTTATAAATAATGATTTTTATAAATGTTTTTTCCTTCATAATTTTCCCACTCATTTCACAAAATCTTGAATATGCAATTATTTATCATGATACATTACTGCAACGAGGGTTCCCATTTCAGAACAAAGTTTAATTCTATATGTGAGTAAGTTGTTATTGAAATGTGATTTTTTTTCTGGAAAATAAATAAATAAGTATAAAATAAATTGAGTTGTGAAACTCTTTTATTTCCAGCCTCTTAAAATTTTACCCATATTCCTGGGAAATTTTATTGCATGTTTAGGGTGGAGATGGTGGGCCGAAGCCCTGGCATAGGTCAAGGGCTTTAATGTCAGACAAATTCCAGCTATGTAATTTAACTATAGACCTGAGCATATCACTCAATGATTCTCCATTTCTTTGTATTAAAGAAAAAAAAAAGTAATGTCCTCTGTATCATTGAATCACTGAGAAGATTAAATAATATATTTATCAGTTATCTAGAAGTTCCTGTCTAGTTCACAGCAGACCTTCAGTAAAACAATTCTTTCCTGTTCTTATCTTTCTGTGGATAGGGATTGGAGTGGCCAGAAAATTTCCATGCTTTTCTTCCAACACTACCCCAACACTGTGCTCTACTCTAATCCCAATGTATTACTATTGTCAACTAATGCTAACTGCAGCCAACACTCAAGGGTCAGCCACTGGGCTAGGTGCCTGGAGGCTTTATCTTATTTCTACTTGCAGTGACTGCTCACCGCAGGAGGGTCCTTATAGCATGTGTTTTATTTGCTTTTAGTTCGTTTGGCAAGAGCCAATGCACTTAGGAGGGGGATAGTTACTAAAAAGAGGAAGAACTTATTCGTTTGGACAGGTAGCTCCTCAACCCCAAATGCCTCCCTTTCAAAGCTTCTTAAACTAATAGGCTGGGAAGAGCCATGTAAGGAAAGCGGAGGAAGCCAGCTCCGCATGTAACACACAGAAGTGAAGACCTGAATTCCAGCGGACCCTGGGAATATTATTTAACATCTTAGAATCTCCATTTTCTAAATCTGTAAAGGCAGGACAACCGTTTCTTGACAGAGTTGTTGGGACGATCAAATAAAACTAAAGCTGTCAGTATGTGGCAATATATGCGTGCCCTGAGGGGAAGATGGAAAGCAGCGTCTGGGGGCGGGAAGAGGAGTTGCTTTATTTTCTCTTGTTCCTCAGATGTCCTGTGCTAGGAAAATGTAGCATTTCCCACTCTGGGCCTGCCATCCGCGGGAAAAGGACCATGATGCGGGGTCCTCGGGGCTGCACCTTTAGTCCCAAGTGTCCTCCTCCCAAGCGGTCCCCCTCCAGCTCTCGGCCACCCCGTCCCTCTCCGGGCAGTGACGGTGAGATCCTTTCCATCTTTAGGGCGGCTTAGAGGACCACGTGGCGGCAGGGTCGGGCCGGGAGGGCCTAGGGC